TCATGTATAAGATTCAATTTGTGTAGGACATATGATATAGGAAGCTTAAATAAATAATAAGTCATTCCTATTTTGTGATAAGTTGATATCATATTATCATAGTTATTTCTGGATTGTTTGATATATTTCCTTAATCGTTACATCAATTGTTGGATTGTGTGGTTTAATGTACCGGTATGGGACGGTGGCATTCTGGGGACGGATTAACTTATCAGTTAAGTCCAACCTATTTTATATAAGGGAATGGATTAACTAAAATGTTAAGTTATACTTATATTCAAGTTAGGTCAGCTGAACAAATTGAATGGCTTATGGAGGATTAATTTATTATATAAGGGAATGGATTAACTAAAATGTTAAGTCCTACTTATATTTAAGTCAGGTCAACTAAACAAGGTGAATGACTTATGGAGGGTTAATTTATATTGGATAGGATGGTTACTAGATTATATATATATAAGTATAGTGCCATGATATGAGCTTGAGTCTCAGGATCAGTGGTTAGGGGCGCATATATCGCTAGGGATGTGTAGCTAAATATAGTGTAGTTGTGTACCCTGGTAGGTTTAGGTACTCATGCCCCTATATGTGCGTTTTGTATGTTGCCTACTATTCAGGTTGAGACAACCCTATAGTCTAGTGAGGTTCTTTTAGTGTGTGTATATATATATATACGGACTACTAGTTACTATTGGATTGACTAGGATGTATACGTGTATCGGATCTCTGCTTGGACTGTAGTAGAGTAGAACTTATTTATAGACCTGACCCACCATTATTTTTCAAGTGTTCGTTAGGAGTAGAGGTTGTTCATGCTGAGCGGGGATCAGTCTACTTCATTTTTCCAATTCTACATAGGAGATTCTTTTATGCTTCGTTCTTCAGTTGTAGACAGTTATTGCTGTCACTTGTTCAAATTGGTTTTTAGGGGTCCATATAGTATGGATTCCCAAGTTGTATTAATGGAGGATTTATTGTATCAAAATGATTTTATTATTAATGAAAATTTATTAAGAGGTTTTATTATTAGATTTTTCTTTTAGTTTTCTTTCAGCATATTATTTATTCTTTTGTACTCTTTGTTCATTTATTGCCGCCGATTTTGTTTTTGATATCCTCGGATATTCGGGCGTGGGTCTGGCCAACCCGCATTCGGAAATCCGAAGGTATCACACCCTATTATTTAATATTTTTTAGGACACGGAAAAGAAGTGGCAGATGACGTTCCACCACAGGTCTAGCATGGATTAGATGATCATTTTGTTATTTTTATATCTAAGTCTCACTATTTTTTGTAAAACTTAACATAATATATTTTGTACAAAGACTTGTGGACTCTTATTATTGTAATTATATCTATGGGCTGTAACTTTTATATAAGTTGCCTAAATGTTGTAAAGTATGGATATTTGATCTTAACCTTGTATTTTAGGACTGTAATTATGATAATTGGATGAAATGGTATGTGATTGTTCCACCATGGGATGAACTAAGTTAAGGCATAATGAATGGAGGAAAAGGATGCTGGAATATAATATTTTGCATTGTGTGTTGGGACAAGTTAGATAAGTCTAGAAGGCCCGAGTGAGGCTATTGCATATTTTTTTTTTTTTTTTTTTTTTTTTTCATGCATCTAAGTAAGTTGTTGTAGGCCCCTTTTTAGCAGAGATCATGTCAAATTTTATTTATTTATTTTTTTTTTATTTTTATTTTTAATTAGTATCATTTTAGGGTCGTTACAGATTTCAATTCAATTTCAAGATAATCATTTTTCAAAGCAAGACATTCCTTTAATAAGTTAGCAACACTTACCTTATCCGCAAGAATGATGATCTGTTTCTCAAGCTCAGTGATGACAGACTCTCTTTCAACAACCTTCTTTTTGCCTTCATCAATCTGTTTATTTAGATCTTCATTCTCTCATTTTGCTTGGATAAGCTCCTTTGCAAGTTTATTGATTGTCTGTTTGGTCTCAATGGTTTCTTTAACCATCTTCTTCAGTCTTTCGTTGCTCTTTTCAGCCTCTTCAATCTATTCATTATGAACTTCATTATCTTCATTATCTGATTATCAAAGTCAGATAAATGAACAACATGAGGACCCCTATCAAGAAAAACGACATAAGAAAAATCATTAGTATCATCCTGAGGAGAATCATTATCACTTAAAGTAGAATTTTCAACCATAGAAACTTTCATTCCTTTTCCTTTATTCCTATCCTTTTGTTATTTCCTAGGACTAGGATAAACATTGGATGCGTGACCTTTGCCACCATAATTCCAGCAAGTAAATTCAGTTTCTTTTGATTCTTGCACTTTCTTTTCATTAATCCTAAATTTTGACGTCTTGTCAAAATTTTGAGGATTAACCATGTTGCTATTACTTCTCCTCTATTGCCTTTGCAAAACTTGACTGAATTGCCTTGACAAGAATGCAATATCATCATCAGAGTCATCATTCACAGAATTCTCAACCTGTGTAAATTTTAAAGCAAGATTTTTCTCCTTCTGATTTAAATCAAAATTCTGCATCTCAAAAGTTTTTAATGAACCTACCATCTCATCAACCCGATAGGTAGTCAAATCCCAATGTTCAGAGATGGTTTTAACCCTAATCTGTAATCTTTTAGGTAAAGACCTTAAGATTTTTTCACGTATTTTTTTATCATTAACTTTTTTCCTTTAGTGACGCAGTTCAGAAATTATTTCAAGTAGACTAGAATAAAAATCAGAAAAGAATTCGTCTTCTTTCATCACAATGTTGCCAAATTTATAAGAAAGCAACTGAATTTTGGACAACTTCACTTTCGAAGTTTCTTCATGAGTAACCTGCAAAATATCCCAAACTTCTTTAGCAGTTTTACGATAAGAAATTCTAACATATTTAGATGGAACAACAGAATTAATAATTGAATATAAAGCTTTGCCATTAGCATCATTACGCTTAGTTTCAATAGCAGTAAAATAAAAAGTATCTTTTAACTCTTTGACTATTTTACCATCCACAGTTGTATCTACTGTAGGAGGTGTATAGCCAGATTTAACTATCGCCCAAGTTTTACCACCAAAATTTGGCAAATAGGCTCTCACCTTTGATTTCCAAAAATTATAATTATCTCCTTCAAATAAAGGACTACGTTGATTAGAACCAACTTCTTTCAACGCATAAGACATGATTTTGAAAACAATTTTTGAAAAATACAACAAAATTAAACTTTCCAACAAGGATCAACTCAATGTATAGAGATTGACTTTGATACCAAATTGTAAGTCGTACGCAGCGGAATGTATACAGGAAAGTTTTAGGTTTTGTAAAACAAATCTGTGTCGTTACCAACTTTACTTATTTTAGCAATTAAACAGTTAATCATATGCAGATAAAATAAAGCAAAGTATAAAGTTAAAGATGACACCAGGATTTTAGCGAGAAAACCCCAGTTGATAAAATACATCAACTGTTGTGGGAAAAACCTCATGGACTTGTGCAGTCCAAAGTAAACCAATCCACTATGCTTGGAACAAAGTATACCAAACTTTGACTCTGACTCACACCCTATCGTTCTACACCACACCAACTGCTGATGATTCTCTAGCTTTGTGATTCCCCGTCCAACAACAACTTGACCACAGGCTTACACTTGATATTTGTAAAAGAGTAGCAGGTAGATCGGACAGCACTCCGCGAATGCTCCAACCCTTCCAAAGTGTGACTGCGTTTACTTCTGTTCTTCAAACTTCTGAATGATGTAGAAGTAGATCTGCTTTGTCTGATCGATGTTAATACGACTGTATGATCACGATCATGATTCAAACACCATAACTCTAAACTTACTAGGTAAATATGTGTGTGTTCTAAGAAGACAACAGAAAAATCAACTTTGATTTTCTGAGATTAGGTACAATTTTAGACCAACTAGGAAACAATTTAGAAAAAGAAAACTGAAGTTGGATAGCAAACAGGACATCTTGAACCGGTTCAAGGAAGCTGAACTGGTTCAAGTTTGACAGTGACTCAAACTTGAGCATCTTGAACCGGTTCAAGGAAGCTGACTCGGTTCATGGTTGGCAGACCTGAATTTTCGAATTCTTTCAGCCTTGTTTCATTATACGGGAATTTCAGACTAACATGGTAAGTGTAGAATGTCCAACCTTGTTCATATTCCTTCCTAAAGTAGTGTTCTTACCTTTTTTCTTCACAAATTCTTCAAGTATGGTAAGTTTGAACTCTTTCCCAGTTTTGTAGTCCCTGTCGAACTTGATGACTTGTAGAACAAGTAATTTAAACTATAACTCAACTTGGACTTGTTATGTCTACGATAATTGCCAAAATAAATTAAAATTTCACAAACTCAACATGGATCCATCAATTCAATTATTAAACGACCAATCTGTTCCAAGAACTGCAGTTCAATTCTAGAAAGCATATGAATGAGAAGCTTCTACCTATCGTTTTCCAGTTGTAAACTCATGAAAAAGTTGGTCTAATTTCTGCAATATATATATATACACTGTAGTTTTTTTTTTTTTTAATTAAGATAATTCTATTTTTACGAAATAGAGGATACTAATTGATGTAATATGGAATGCAAATATGGTTATGAAGGCTTTTAGTTTGTAGTTTCACCTAACTTCAAGCAAGCGAAGTGTATTTTCCGGCAAATACTGAACTTGTAATAACCATCAAGTCAACATGAGGTGAGATTTGTTAGAATTTTCCGGCAAGGAGAAGCATATCTGTATTGAGAATCACCAAAATTTGGAGTATGTGTTATAGCACTAAACTGGGAGATGTATTAGCTAAATATAGACACCAACTAAATACTAATATAGTTTCACAATCTTTTTTTCAACCATAGGTAAGGTTGAGTAGCTACAGAAGTTGTTACTTACACAAAGTATAAAATATGTTTGGCCGATCATAGAATTTCACAAGCTTCTGGCTTTTGATCCTTGTTTTTCCCTCACTAATAAAAAAATTGTAGTTCACAATTCAAGGCCACAATGACACTTGCAAGAGGATGTGAGTTTAAAGCTGTTTTTCTATTAGGTTTAGCTTTGCTTTCATATGGCGTTCAAGGTGCTCGCCGTGGCCTTGCAGGCACTGATCCTACAATTTTTGATGTTACACAATATGGTGCCCAGGCAGATTGTAAGACTGATAATTCTAGGGTGAGTTTAAAGAAATGGATGTGTCTGCATAATTATTCGTAGTTAATTTCTCTTAAAATGGTTTGGTTTAGTAGCTATGCTTTTCATTCAGTTTGGTCCTTGTAATTATAAGGACAGAGGAAGGGAGGATGTTCAAAATATGGAAATGAGATCAATCATATTGGATAAATCATATTAATTAGTTTTTTCTTTTTCTTTTTTTTTTTTTTTTAAAAAATAAGATTGCTAGTGATAAATCATGGCTGTAGGCTGTAGCACTGTGTTGACCTATGACAGGACCATTGAATAGAGATTGAGAATGAATTAAACATGAAAATATGATTAATAGAATTGGGGATTTTTCATGCCTTTTTGGTCATGAAGATGGAGCGATTCCAAAAATCCAATAAACCAACCTTGTTAGACAGTCATTTTCTTTTTTTTTTTAGACTGAGGTCTCTACCATCAACATTTGCCATGATAGTGTCAATTTTTGGTTTTTACTGAGACTACGTAAGCGTCGGCTTCCTCTAATTTAGTCCGAACCAACCTTATTTATTTTAATAACCTGAAGTATTGTATAATACAGATATTCATAAACACATGGAATGCAGCATGCCAATCAAGTGGGATGGCCAAGCTTCTTATCCCCAACGGGACATTCTTGGTAGGGGAGGTCATCTTCCAAGGACCGTGCAAATGCTCAAATCCCATAACTATTGAAGTTCAGGGAACGCTGTTGGCCAAGACTGATCTCAGTGCTTATCCTAGTGGACAATGGTTCTTGTTCCGACATGTTACTGGTCTCCTACTTACAGGCCAAGGAAGTTTTAATGGACAAGGTGAGACTGCGTGGAAGTTCAACTCTGGATCCCCGAAACTTCTCCCAATTGTAAGTCAATCTAATATATATTCTATGTTACTGTTTCCTACCCAGTGAATGCGAGGAGAAATATATACTAGCGGAAATGATCCGGACTTAAAGTTGTGATATTTTTCATAGAAATTAAGCTGACTAATTTCTTTGTTAACTATGGTGCAGTCTATCAAAATCGACCACACAAACAATACCCTTGTTCAGGGGATCAAATTGATCAATAGTAAAGGATTTCACATGAAAGTCACTAGCTGCAACAATGTTACAGTCCAAGGCCTCAACATAACTGCACCTGATGATAGCCCAAACACGGATGGCATCCATATTAGCCGTTCTGATCTTGTCAAAATCTCTAACACTGTCATTGGAACCGGTGATGACTGCATTTCCATTGGGGAAGGCTCCACCAACATTTCAATCTCTGGTATTACTTGTGGACCTGGACATGGCATTAGGTACGTAAATTCCAACAATTAATCTTTGATCGTGCATTTGAATAACCTTAAGGCCTATTGACGCAGGAAAGTTCAAGTACCTAGTCTTTTCTGCTCTCTCTGTCCTTTTTTCGTTTAATTCTTCTTTTGATCACTTCTGTGCCATGCAGCATTGGCAGTCTTGGCAAAGTCAAGACTGAGAAGGATGTGAAAGGAATTGTTGTGACTAATTGTACGTTATCAAACACTGAAAATGGTGCGAGGATCAAAACCTTCGAAGAATCACCAAAAACCCAAGCTTCCAACATTGTTTTTGAGGATATAGTCATGAATAATGTCCGAAATCCAATTATCATCGATCAGCATTACATGTGCAAGAATAAGAACAAAGGGGTAAGCCATCCCAACTCTTCCCTCCCATCTTGCATGATAGGATGAGTAGGAATTTCCATTCATTCTTTATCTAACTTAATTTCACTAGATCCCACTACTAACTCGGTTCAATTTTAATTTCTGGTCAGCCATCCAATGTGAAGATCAGTAATGTTCACTACAAGAACATAAGGGGTACCACGGTTTCGAATGTTGCAGTGGCACTTAATTGCAGTGAAGCAGTACCTTGTGAAGGCGTTGAACTGGTCGACATTGATCTCAAATCTAGCGGCATTTCTGAAAAAATCGAAAGCCAGTCGACTATTTCAGGTTTATGTTCTAATGCTAAAGCAACCTTCAGTGGTAAACAAAACCCCTCGGCTTGCACGTAGTTTCTTCTTCTCCACAAGATTTTATACTAGTATATCTTGTTGCTTACCACTGCTCAATATGTGCTTTTGAGTGAGCGCCATTTGTGTCTCTAGGAGTTAAGTACAAGGTACTTAGTCCCAATGTAACACTACTGATATAAATGGTAAATACATTGTAAAAGAAATATCCCTATTAAACGTGTGGATTCATCCCATTTTATGATACATATGGACAGTTCTTAAATACAGGCAGAAGGGACAGTTAAATTCCTTGGCCGGCCAACGAACAAAAAGGAAAAATAAAGTTAAATTACGGAGTATATCTTGACTGAACCGTACTTGTACATCAATTTTTTTTATCATTGAAGAATTGCTACCTGTCACATTTGTCATCTAAAATATCTAACTCTGATTGGTAACCAAGCACAACAACAACAATGAAAGTATAAACAACAGCATAAATATATGCTGGTTTAACAGCTAGCAATGAATGGATGAGCTGAACAATATTGAAAGTACAAAATTGAACCAGCAAAATTGATCATTGCAGAGCAATAGTTGGGGTCTGAGGATAATGTCGAACCATGATGACTACTATCATAAGAATCCAACTAGAAAATCCCTAGATTGTAATTTTTTTTTCTTAGTTGGTACTCACATACACATGGAAAGTAGGAGCCTAATACCGCTAGGCAACTGACTTGTTGGTCCCTAGATTGTAAATTATTCTACATGGTTACCTATATGAGCCAACTCACTGAAATATGTACTGGTTTCTATTCATTGTTCTTGGTTACATTGACGTATAGGTTCAATGAATATCTTGCTTGTAGTATCCGTGCCAAAGTTTTGAAGAGCATCCACTCATTTCCTTTGGATGCCACAGAATTCTATGATTTGAACGCCCTTGAAAAAAACAAAGGAAATGATAAAATTGAACTATTAAGTATTACTATCTGGGGTCAATGTTGTTCTGTAATGCGGAAAATGGTTGCAAGAAGAAACAGAAAAAAGTACGTTTTTCCCGAAGTAAAATCGTTAGACACTAAGCCATAAGCCCGTCATTTCAAGATGAGTACAAGAGAAATGTGTATATTTGGATATACATCTATAGAAGCACTTGCTGCTAGGATGAGGAGCCCCAATCAAGAACAATTATTTATCCATTGACCAACCAATCAATAAGAGCTAATAAACATTAATTAGGACAATGATGATAAAGAAAGAGAAACACTGCAGAGAGAGTGTGATTGTTGTGTTGGACTGGATCAGGGCTTCTACAGAGAAGACTGGTGTTGCACCACTCCGGTGTGCTCTGCGTGACCTGGTAGGCCCAGAGGATGAGATTTTGGTTATAACAATTCTCAATTCAGAGGCAAACACACCATCACCGACTGCAAGTTTTTGTTGTCTGGGAGAGATGAAAAGTAATCATCCAGGTGAAGGAGACCGGGACATTAAGTTCCTCCACGAAGAGATCAGTCCGAAAATGGAAGCTTACGAGAAGATCTTTGCACCGTACTATGATAGATGCAGAAGCAGTGGAGTAAGTTTCTCCATTCTGAGGGCAGAAATTTTTGTAATAATTTTTGGAGGGATATTCTCTAAACACTTTGTGTAACACCCACTTATATATATTTGCTAGGAATTTAGTGTCTACAGATAGAAATGTATTAATTTTTATCGTTCAGCTTTCTCTCCTCCATCCATAACTGATGAGTTGCCATGTTTCATTAGATCTCATTTAGTTTGTACCTTGTAATTTTGAGCTTTTCTGGCCACTTGCTTCTGCGACAGGTGAAATTTCACGTGAAGATTGCTGCCAGCTTCCAACCGGACATATTAGTGGGGGAGGCGAACAATGTCAAAGCTACTTGGATTGTTATGGACAGGTCTCTGCCTGTCTTTTTCTTTCCCATGTGTTTCTTGTAATATATTGTCTGATCATTATATATAACATAAGAATAGAACCTTCCATCAACTCGGTGAGTAATACAATGAAGTATATGTGCAAGAAGTTCCAAAAAAATCAAGAAGCGACATCACCAATTAAAAGGATTCTTGGAATGACTGCCAGAACCTAGGGACAGCTTTAATTACTTGCTCATAAGATTAGGTTCTTTTAGATGGCCGAATTCATAAGAAGAAATATTTTTCCTTTATCGCAGGTTATTTTCTATGGACCAAAGCTTCATACTGAGTGGAACAAATTGCAATATATCTTCGGTGCGCGAGGATGAGGACACTATAATGTACAATTATTCACCTGGTGGATTGGAAAAGAAGGAACGAAACCCCAATCCAAAGTTTTCAAACCTAAATAAGAGATCGTCATCATCATCATCACAAGATGAAACACATGCTCATTGTACCTTGCCAAACTTTCAAGGCAAATATCAACACGTTTCTCCATCTGATTTTGCAAGTACAAGCAGAGGACTCGAAATTCTGGCAATTTGTGACTCATTAGATGAAAGAGAGAACTTAGAAAAGGTGGAGCTGGAAAGTGAGGGGATCGCATTACATGACAATATCTCCTCCAATGAAGTTTCTAAAGTGAAGCTTATGTCAAAAATGCCATTGCAACTAAGCTGGGAAGTGATTTCTGAGATAACAGGCGGGTTTGGATCTACAATTTGCATTGACCAGAATGATTATGTTGGGACCTATAGAGGATATATAACTGATTGTTGCACGAATGTTATGGTAAAAAGATTCAGTGGAGATTTTAGTGGGATTCTCGAAACAGAAAAAAGAGCAGCTTTGTCTATGCATCATAACAATATAATGGGGTTGATTGGTTACCACAAGAGTGAAAATGACACAATTCTGGTCTTTCCCCATCCAGCAAGAGGGACACTGGACAGATATCTTCATGGTGAGTTTGTTGTTTCTCTATCTCCCAGATCATTAATTATAAAAAAAAAAGTTAGCTAGATATTCCAAATTAAGGTTCGCGGATATACTTAAAATCATGCAATGGAACCTGCATTGTTGGTTCTGAGAAATCAGTTTTTTTTTTTTTTTTTTTTCCGAATCAAATAGTATGTTACCATTCATTTGTACTCTATAATGGGCTGAAATATTCTTTGTTAACCAGCTGCTATTGGTGCAGACTCCAGAGGAACATGGAAGGAATTTCTGACATTTCAAGATAAAATGAAGATAGCAACAGGAACTGGTAAAGGTGTTCGATACATGCATGAAGAGTGTCCTCGAGGCCCCATTGTTCATGGTGACTTGCAGCCATGTAACATTTTTTTGACCAGCGACTTTAAGCCACTGGTGAGAATCCCAGAACCAAAGAAATCTCATAATATGTGTGTGCGTGTTTTGGCTCTCTAATTTTGTGGTTTCTTTCTTTTCTTTTTCTTCCCCTTTTTAATTGTGATTGGTTCTAATAGATCACTGGCTTTGGGCGAGCTAAGTGGCTGCAGCTAGGACAGCAAACATCACCTATTAGTAGTAACAGGTTTGCATTTACATGTCAGACAAAGTCGCTCATAAATTCATGCTACCAAGTTTATAACTACATTGTTAAATTAAATGTTTGAAAATTTAAATGAGATATCATTCGGGAAAGAAAAAATATATATACATATGTGAAAATTTATTTGCTCTCGGTAAACAGATCAATCAAGCACAATTAAATATAGTGTTGGTTGCTGTAACTATATTGATGGACTTTCACTTAAAGATGTTAGTTTTGTACGCTAGAGGGGGCTCGCACAAAGATCCTTTGGATGTTGAATCATTGACTTTGGTAAAATCAGACATCCTTTCTTTTGGAATTCTGCTCTTAAGGCTGTTCTGTAGAAAATCTGCCCCGAAAGATGGAAAGAAACTAATTGAGTGGGTTAGTGGTCATTTTTTTTTTTTTTCTTACGGTTTTTGCTTGCACATTTATAACTTGTTTCAACTAATTAAGTGTAACAGTTTGGGTCTAAGTGGGCTCATAGAAAACCTCTGAATTGCAGGCTCAGCCATTGTTGCGGCAAAGAGCTTACCATGAATTATTGGATGAGGACACGGAGTATTTGGACATGCATGGAATTTTGAAGGTGGTGTGTGCTGCAATTCAATGCACAAAGACTAGGCCAGTTTCGCGACCTTGTATGAGCGAGGTGAAGACATAGCTGACTTATTATATGAATTAAGCTCCCTCCTGTTTTGAAATTTAACCACAAGGTCATCACCTACTCACCATATTTACTTTTACTTTTCTAGGTGATTTCCATTCTTAAAGGAGAAAGTTCTTGTGCTGTGCAATCAACGTCATCTTCAGAGAGCAGCCCAATTATGCCCTAGAACACATGGCAGTGTTAGTAGAGAAATATTGTTTAATTGACCAGCTTGAGGCCAACACTTCCAGTAACATAGCAAAGTAAAAAGGCAAAGTGTAGTAGCTACTTTATCTGCTTTTTCCATAAACATTGCTTTATTATTTCTTAGACAGTCTTCTATTGCTCGCTCTGTGCTATTTTTGCTGCAATAGTCAAAGTTTAAGCTGAGTGCTTCCCACTATTTCCAGTCAAACATGCCTTGAATTCCCAGTTCTTTTGGTGAATGAATGATAAGACTTTGGTGCCGTGACAACTCATTTGGTTCCCCTAAACCACATATGGGATGATTCTTTCTTTGTGAACATGACATATTTCCATTTGACAAATCCAATAAGATTTCTTCTGATAACAGAAGCAGCAGTAAAGAAAATCAACCACAATATATCTACATACATAGAAAGAAGAGCGAGAACTTAATCTGAAAAAAATATGTTTTACAAGAAGAAGCAAATTCTCAAGTGTTACAGATTCTTTATCTCGGTGAATTCACCAGTTTATGCAGTACACTCCAGACAAATCGTTGCAAATTTAACAAAAAGTAATAATTTGGAGGTAACAAATTAAATTTCTTGTACACAACAAAGATACTTTCTATGAAGAGAGGTATATTCTTACTATAGGTTCCAAATATGACACACTATTAAAAGAGGACATCGAGCCATGTTCTTTTTCTAAGGTGGAATCTTCAACATCCTTTCTTTAAGCCACACTGGGGCCAATTTTATTTTAAAGTTTGCATTCATTCATGTGGAAATTAAGATAAGTGGAAATGCCACGATTTCTACGCACCTAGCTTTTACCTTTCTTTACTGTTACTGCACTCTCTTCTTGCCCTGTTTAGGAGTTATTTATTTATTTATTTTTTCTATGTCGGTGTTGGCCTCTTAGGACATCCCAGAGTTATACATAAGTTGTAACGTGGCTATATTTATATATATTTTTTTATATATAGACTAGTGCTGGCTCAATCTCAAGCCGTGTGCAGAAATATTTGATTTCTACTTTATTCTGCATGGTGGTGATTGGTGAGGATTAGCACAGAGGCCTTTAGGAAGGGATTAGGAGATAAGCTCATTTGGTATGTTATCTTGACAAGTGATTTGATATGATATTTAGGATTAGCACAAATCCATTTAAATATAACTTAGAATTATTGGTTCTATTGGTGGTGCTCTTAAATATTGGTATTTAGTGTGAGAGTGTAACTATAAATTTGAGGATAGTGATTTGATTTAAGCAATATAAAAAAACCTAGTCCTATTACCTGAAGACCAACATATATATATTACAATGGTTCAGTACTTTTGTAGCCTCAATAGTAGTTTCGAAGTGAAACCCAAACCCAGCTTACGAAATGGTTTGGAATTGAAAATGTAAATCTAATTCAGTCTAAAAGAAAGTATAATCTGGTTTACAAGAGCTTCTTTTCTAAATTTTCAATTATATTGTCCTTAGCTTACTAAAATGGGTTTTACCATTTTGCAGTATACACTTGTTAATTTGTTCTTTTGTTGAAAAATCCAACTCTCTGTAAATGATAACACAACAAAGTAAATTGGACATCATTTACACTGTAAATTTCTTCATAGTTTAGCTTGTGGAAATATATTCTTTATTGGCAACAATTGACCTTATTTTGTCTTTCCTAGGTCATGCCTTTAAGAGCCCCATCAACTAAAGTTTATTTTATGTTAGGTAGCGTGCAACTCCTACGTATTATTAAGAGGTTAACTTAATTGAAGATAAGAAAATTTTAACTGTTCTTAATCAACCCAACACAAATTTCAATATGTACTTAATTTTATAAAAAAAACAAAAGATTGAACTTCAAGTTGAAATGTTTGGCTTCAACAACCGCCTCATAACTATTATGCATTAGAATTAAAAACTAATATTTTTTATTTTAAATGTGTAGTGTATTATGATTTAAGTTAAAATCAATTTGTTTAGTTGGACAAGGCCTTGAGTTCAACACAAATGTATTCCAGAATTTAAAGATCGATCAAAATTGAATTATTATAATTTTAGTTTTTTTTTTTTTTTGGTCCTAACAGTGCAAGGAGAGTTGGAGAGGCCAGCTCTTTTACTTTTCACTTTGAAAAGGGGAAAAAACTACTATGCCACAGGTTTTGATGGTAAATAAAAGTCTCTCCAATTAAAGTTTTTAGTCTTTTACTTCACTAATTTTTATAATTGGATGTGTAAATTTTTTGTCAAGAAATATATATATATATATATATATATATATATATATATATATTTTGCAACACTTTTAGTTTGATAATGTAATAGATGTTGTTTTAAAATAAATGAATTGTATTTCTTTATTTTTTTTAAACCTCTTTGAGGGCACCTCCACACACTCTTCTTTTAAAATGAAATGACTATACCATTAAACTAAATTGTATTTTAAAAATAAATATTTTTGATAACTCAATTAAAATTTAATTTTTTTATTAATCACTTATTCAATTAAATATATTTGACAACGCAAATTAATGTCACTAAAAATAAATAACACTTAAAATGATATAAACTGTAAGAATATCACTTACCACTTAAATTTTTTAAAAAATATTAAAAATATATTTATTTTTAATTAGATGAATCTTTATATAACCACTGTGTTTCACATGAACTTAAGGGTCACCGTTATAGAATCTTTATTCTTTTGTTAACGTGTCATTATATTGGTAGCGCACAGTTGCATTCACTAACAAGTCTACCGTAACTTGGTCCATTTGAATCCTCGTCACAAAAATTTCACCTACAAAACCCGAGTAGAAAAATATCTTTATCATACGGCATTTGTGTGGCCTTCGCTAAGCTCTATATCTCCCCGCCCCTCCCTCCTTCCGTTCCTCCCCCCTCTCTCTCTCTCTCTCTCTCTGCTTTCTCTCTCTAGATTATCTCTTCACCATCTTCATTCAATCCATCACTCGCCTACCCTCCGCATATCCTCAACATACCCTAATTTGTCCAAATTTTGAAGTTTCAGAAACTAACACAACGCTTCTTGAATTAAGACGAATGCGAATTTTCTGATTCTCCGCTGCAATTGTAGTCTCTCTCTCTACAACCCCTCTATTCCTGTGTGTATATATTTACATATATATCCATTCGGTTCGTATTGATGCTCTTCGATTTCGTTTTCTTTAATTCTTTTTGAGCTCTATATATGCGTTTGCTTGTTGTTTTTCAATTCTTGTTCGATTCAATGAGATTGCTCTGTCCCGATGCTCCCCAATAGGAATGGCTTCTGTTCCTTCTGTATCAGGTAATCTTTAGTTTTCTTACTTTGATTTGTTTCAATCTTTTCGAGTTCTTGATCTTTCTCTGGATGTATGTGTCTTACCTGAACTTCAGGTGCGCCTCAGTTGCGTCTTTGATTCTGTTCTCTGTCTCAAATCTTTTTGAGTCTTTGGTGGTCTTTCAATAGATGTGTTTTATTTGAAATTCGCAGTTCCCGTGGAATGCGTAAACATATGTAAGTTGTTTAAAGGGGATGGTAGTGGAAGATACGACTGTAGTGTTCTCTCTTGCGCGTGGAAGGCTCCCAGGGCACTCACTGGATTTCTTGCAAGCACTGCACATCCGCCTCAGTGTTCGACACCGCGAAATGGACGGAGTGGAAGAAGAAGTCGCGTCAGATGTGTAAGTGGATTCACTTGCCCTTCAGTTACTTTTTATTTCAATTTCCTATGTTTAGATGATGTTTCTTGACTGTTATATTAACTCCAAGATTGAAAAATCTTGCTAACTCCTGGATTTGGAGGACCTTGCTAGTTCTTGAGACGGTATGGCTTGAACTATTCTTCTTGATATTAGATGGGAAGAATTTTTTCTATTAGATTGTGTTCGTAAATTCAAGCTTTACGTTGGAAATTGTTGTTGGAATCTCATCTTAAAGCTTGAAACATAACTAAGTTGGAAATATCTCGGGCACTTCCTTGGAATTAATGTTATGATGACCTAACATTGCCCTAGTAGGTAGAGGTATATTGTTTTATTCCATCCTCTAGAAGCTGTCATACATTTGTGCTTATATTTGAGGAAATGGAATGGACTGTGGATACAATCATGATCTTGATCAAGATCCTTGGGATGATTTTAGATAGTCCAGCTTCTTGACTATCTTTGGGCAGCATTTTCATATTACCCATTTCTCTTTTGGTCAAAATTCTTATAGTTAAAGTTTTTTCTTTCTTTGTTCTTGTTATTCCCTTTCATATGTATAAGTTTGTATATTAACAATAATTAATTAAAATTTGCATACACTTCCATGAAAAAGAAAGAACCATACTGGTTTAGGCCATGCCAAATTTTAGAGTCAACTTTTTAAAATTTCCTTGATGTGTGGGACGCATCTCCAAACACAACCATTGTGTGGATACGAACATTTTCATGTAATTTTTAAAAATTTGCTTTCTGGGGAGAAAGTACGGATTTTAGTCATCCCTGTGAAGGAATGGTTAATTTTGGATGTAATTTTATCGGATGTTATCCCTCCTTTTCAAATTTGTACCTCTCTACAAAACAGAAGTTAATTATCTCTCCCAATGTTTCATGTTAAGACACCCTCCCAAAATTATAACATCGAGTACTCAAGTAGTCTCTCCGTTCCATATTAACTTAATATGTGTTGCACTTTGGGACTCCCAACTTTTTTAGGCAACATTTATTTAATGTGTTGTCCCCTTTAAAAATATATATATATATATATTTAACATTTACTTTATTGATTTAATTTTTTTTTCAAAACATAAGGACAATTTGGGAAAGTTCAATTTTGGAACATCCCAAAAAGGAAGGTTGACAATATTTTTTGGGGACATTCCAAAAAAAAAAAAAAAAATTGGGCACTTATTTTTGGACTGAGGGAGTAACTCTCTCTAAATCCTTTAGGAAGCTATATTTATTATGTATCAGTCTGTGATATTTTTATTAGTTTCTTTCCAGAAATATGCTTATATGGATCTATCACTAATGGTGTGCTATTCTTCTACTTGTATCAGAGATGTGAAGCAGTTGATGTTGGGGGATGGTACTGCACTGAAGCATCTGACTTTGAACTTCCAGGAAGAATATTAAAATCAAGTTTGCTTCATGTGGCTTGTAAAAAGTGGCAGTTGTACTGTTCTTCATCATTCTCTTCTGATTCCTGTTATGAGGCTTCTCCTGAAAAGTTGTGGGAGGTATTGGTTCTAGAGTGGTATTTCTGTCATTATGATTGTTATCATTTTTCAGACAAGCACATCTTCTCTTGTGTGGCTCATGACTTTACGGTTCTGCAATTTTATTTATTATTGTTATTGCTTCTAAAGTTGCCAATACAAAAGATCTGCCCATTTTGTAATGTAAGGTATCAAACTATTATGGATTTGTTTTGAATTCAGTTGTGTCCCGTACTGGGGGTGGCAGGAGATCGTGCTCAAGCTAATAGCTGATGGCAGTGTGTTATAGGCTTATAGCATTCTTCATATAAAACATGACAACTATAAACTATTTGGACCATGGTAGAGAAGTTTGAGATGTAGAAAAACAGTCCATTTATGGCTGTTGAATTGGAAGACAACAAAATGTATATTTTTATTTCTGACTTGTGGATATTTCCAGTTCAAACTTGCTAAATATATCTCAGAGATAGTCATCTCGTTGCTTGCACTCATCTTTAGCTTTAATCCGATTAGCAGCAAGTTTTTACTAGATCTTGGGCTAGGATGGTTCCATTGGGGCATCTGTTGGGAAAAAAGATGATCTAAATGCAGGGATAAACTATTGACTAAAAATATTCATTGGCCAAAGCAAATCAAATGAGAGCGTGTGTTGTCACCTTATGTTCATCATGCTGATAACATCAAGGAAAACTTTTTTATTTTTTAGCAATTTTCAGGGAGAAGTCAAATGTTGAGTCGTACTCTATAGAAGTTATCCTGATTTGGAAGTGTTGGGAACTGTTGTTTTTATTTGGAATATTAACATATTTTATTAGGTATTTTAATTTTCTGGGGCATCAGTGGAGATGTAATTTAGACTTCATGTGTGTGGGCTAGTTGTTCTATAGTGTTTGTTTGAAAGAAATAAACCAGGCAATGGAGATTGTCTACTAGTGATGGAAGTGGAATGGATGATATACTAATGTAAATTTGGTATTGTTTGCCTCAGGATCTTAAGCCTACCATTTCATACCTTCCACCTAAAGAGTTGGAATTGGTTCGTATTGCTCTCAGTGTAAGCTTCTGCTTTATTCTCCATCTGCACTATACTTTCTATTTTAATCCCCTCATTCTTATTTTGTTATATATATATATATATATATATATATATAAAGAGAGAGAGAGAGAGCTGGGTATGCCTAGTCTTTACAGGGTAATTTTTTTGGGTGGTGTTTATATGTTAATATTCGCTTTTTTCTTTTTATGGATTGTACAGCTAGCTTTTGAGGCACATGATGGTCAAAAAAGACGTAGTGGAGAGCCCTTTATCATTCATCCTGTGGCAGTTGCTCGAATCCTAGGAGAGCTTGTAAGTTCTGCAAATTTCTGAAACATGCATTACTTTCAGGAAGGGTTTTGTTTGGTTAGGAAATTGATGTTTACCTTTGTTATTACAATGAATCACCAATTTTCATTGACCACTAACTGTTCTTTTTAGGAATTGGATTGGGAGTCTATTGCTGCTGGTTTATTACATGACACTGTTGAGGATACAAATGTTGTTACTTTTGAAAGAATAGAAAAGGAATTTGGTGCTACTGTGCGCCACATTGTAGAAGGAGAGACCAAGGTGCTTTATTATTATTAAATAAATACTACTGGAACATGTCTTCCTTCGAGGCTCCAAGGATAACGATAAAAAGTAAAAAATAATAATTAAAAAAAATTGAAAAACTGTGAAAAACAATTCTATTCATGTTTGTGAAGACGGCATTCCCTTCTTTTCTTCTGTAGCTCTAAAGTTGGACTGATTTTGGGTTCTGTCTTCGATAATTTAGGTATCCAAATTAGGAAAAATCAAGTGTAAGAATGAAAACCATTCAACGCAAGATGTGAAAGCAGATGATCTTCGGCAGATGTTTCTAGCTATGACTGAGGAGGTGATCCTATCATTCTGTATTTTGTTTACGCCCATGTTTATCCATGTTGACTTCCACACGGTGACTAAAAAAGATTTTGTTTCAGGTCCGTGTTATCATTGTCAAGTTAGCTGACAGATTACATAACATGCGGACCCTGTCACATATGCCTCCACATAAGCAGGTGTCATAATTTTGAATCTTTGATAGATTGTTTAAATGGTTTATGGTTATTTATTTCTCTCTATTCTTAACATTATTTGTTTGGTACAGGCTAGCATAGCAATGGAGACGTTGCAGGTCTTTGCTCCTTTAGCAAAACTGCTGGGAATGTACCAAATTAAGGTATACCCTTCTGCTTCATTTTCATTATGATACTTAGGTCCTATTGCCATGAATGAGAACCATTTGGTTTCCGTTCTGTCTAAAAATCAAGTATAGACATTGAACCAAGGTGGTCATAATATATATCATCAATGTTGAATTCTGTCTCACGTGTTTGAACTTTGAAGTTTAACTTGATCTTGGAACGTATACATTTAATTTTGATTTATAGGTAAGATTTCACAACTTAATTATTCCAATTTTACCAAGGTAACCTTGAGTTGAAGTTGTAAATCACTTTTGTTGTCTACTCCCAAAACTAAACATCCCAACCTGTTTTTGTTTCTTATGTGTTCCACAGGATCGGTATTTATTTTATTGAGATATGATGTTGTATCTTGGCCCATTGTAATGCACTTCCTTGTATGTCAGATTCCCATAGATGAACAAGTTTTGGTGATGCGTTATTGTTTTCGTCTGTTTTTCTAGATTTAAAACCTTGATAAAGTGAATTTTCTGATATGCCCAGCTGCCAAATGGCCAGCTCTTTTTTTAATGGTGCATGATATTTTTCTGAAACTAGTTGTAGTATTTTAATTGTGATACTTGTCTGATGTGGCAACTGCCAAGTAGTCAGCTATCTTTTGTCCATGGTTCACCTAGAGTAGTATAACATTTTAATCCTGTCCTCCAGGAGCAAGAAAAGGCCTTCAGAATCCAAAACCTCTTTTGCTCTGAAATGCTTTATTGACATTTTTTTTAAAAAATTAGGATAGGTAAATGCTTTATTGACATTAGACCATGTCCCATTGTAGAATGATGTGCCTACTATATCATGAGTCATGTTATCATATTTTATGCAACTGTGCATCTGGAACCATGTATGTTTTACTAATTTATGAATACCTACTTGCAGTCTGAACTTGAAAATCTATCCTTCATGTACACGAATGCCCAAGACTTTGCGAAAGCGAAGAGAAGAGTTGAAGAACTCTATAAAGAACATGAAAAGGAACTCATAGAGGTATGTAGACATCATATGCAACAATAAGAGGTGAACATTTGACCCCACCCCCTCCCTTTTGGACTCAATGCCAGCCCATTTTCCAATGTGCTACAATGGCTTTGGCATAATGATGAGTGATATTAAAAAAAGTTTTTGATGTAACATCGAGTTTTGAAGTTGACAGTTACTAGTCACTTTTGAGTGTGTTCTTCTGCTTATCAATCTCATCTCCTTGTATTAGGCAAATAAAATTTTGATGAAGAAAATTGAGGATGATCAGTTCTTAGACCTTATGACTGTGAAAACTGAAGTTAAATCTTCGTGTAAGGAGCCTTATAGGTAAAACTCTCTCTCTCTCTCTCAAAATATAGCTCCTAATATGGAACTGAACCTATAGACATTACCATCATATTTAGTCACAAATTTGGAGAAGTTGGTTTTCTTTTTCATATATCATATGTTGCTCCTAATTGATGTTCTGCTTTCTCCTTTTTCTTCTTTCCTTAACACAAACAAATGTACATGAAGTAAGACAACTTTCACTTCCAAGACTCTAGCTATGTTAGAGTGATCTGTGAGCTTGGAACATGTCATGTCATGAGAGTATGATTGCAAACATGAGACTGGTGGTGAAAAGATTGTTTGCAGTTATTCTATGTGTGCTCGAAATGGTCCATAAATACACTAAATTATGTACATTGCTTGCAAAATAAAATTGGTGGACATCATACCATTTTGTGATACTAGCTTACTTTGAATCTGGTTTACAAGATGGGCAGGCCATCAAACTGTGCCAATTCGCACACCTCGCTGTCTAACTCTCCACTACCAAAGCCTAATTGTCCGTCATTCTTTTCGTTGGCAACAATCTTGTTCTCAAATCTGTTTATGTACCGAAATAAGTAATAACAATTATGTAAAATGAGAGAATAAATTGAGATATGTTTGTGTGTATGTGTGTGTGTGTATTGTGGGTCTATAAATCTTGAGAGATATGTGTATAATATATGTTGGTTTATTATTTATATGCCTGTGTGTGGAGAGAGAGCAAGGGGGTGGGTGATGGCGGTGGAGAGAGAGAGAATGAAAGAGGGAGGAAGATGGGGGTGGACAAAATGGTCATTTCACAATAGATGATATTTTGGCATTTTTAATATTAAAACATTCAGGGTATAAAGGTAAAGTTACCCAAAAAGTTAACTTCCATAAGTTTGATTTCATTAGAGGGGAGGTGAGTGCAAGATTTTGAAAATGTTTCATCCAAGTGTAATTAGGGCAAACCTCCAGGGAGGTCATTGTATTTAACCCAAAACAAAAATATGCAAATAAAACCTCTAAAACTTAGTTATTAAAGCTAATGTGACTTTATTGTAGCATGCTAGTCATTTTCAGGTTAAAAGAAATATTTTGAATAAAACTTTAAAGGAACACCAAAATTTCTAGTCATTTCCATGTTGATAACAAATAAATAGTTTGTTGACTTGATTTGGAAGATTTTCTTGTTTGTAATTTTCACGCAATGTCTTGCTAGTTCGAGGTTTTCTCCATGTGAGGTTCATACCTGACCACTTGGAAGAGTTCCAAATTATTTAAAGATGATCATGGACATGACTTTAAAAAGCATTCTGTCCTTGTAAACTGAGATTCTGAGTTGGGCTGAACACTCAAATTAACTCTCTGCTTGATGCTTGTGCATTCCTTGGTAACACATGAGATCCACAGATATAATATAAAACATATCTATGAGACATGCCTCACTTAGTTTTATCAGGGTGCTTAGAATTCTACGAAGTTTACCTTTGACTTGTATATAGATGATATTTAGGTGTCGTTTCATGCAAAGATTCTTGTTTATAGTCTTGTTTTGGGAATTGTCATCTTGTGACATGTCTGTTCTTTAGCTTAGTCAATATGTCACATGGCAAGTACAACTACTTTCATGAAGACTTTCTTGACTAGATGCTTTATGTTAATTTTTGTTGTTTATTGCAGTATTTATAAAGCTGTACTCAAATCTAAAGGTTCAATAAATGAAGTCAACCAAATTGCACAGGTTTGTTATGCTATTGAATTGACCTTGGAACTTTTGACAATTTATGTTTCTTATTTGTGGCTTGACATACTTTTTTTTTTGGCTTGAATTATTAGCTTCGAATCATTATAAAACCAAAGCCATGCATCGGAGTTGGGCCTCTATGTAGTGCACAGCAGGTAGCCACGCTCAAATAATTGCTTTTTTCTTCTATATCTCACTTGTACACACACGTAAAAATATATAATTTTATACGATAAAGTTTTCTCTATTGAACGTGTCTTTTGCAGATCTGTTACCATGTTCTTGGGTTGGTACATGGAATTTGGACCCCTATTCCTCGAGCTGTGCGTATCATGCTTTGCTTTCTTTTATTTCAAATTCATATTTGGGGTATTTTTATTAATTATTGATATCTCTAGGCATATTGGTTTTCTTTTTGTTAAAGATGAAGGATTATATAGCAACCCCAAAACCTAATGGCTATCAGAGTCTTCACACCACTGTAATTCCATTTCTTTATGAGAGCATGTTTCGGCTGGAAGTTCAGGTCACTTCTTGGATGTTCATTCTTTTCAATTTAGAAATTTCTTTTGACCCACTCATTTCACTAAGAGTAATCATTTTGTTATTCTGAAATACATGGTTTGAATTACTTGCATGAAACTTAGTTCTAAGTCTGGTTTATCTATGGTTTGCAGATAAGAACTGAAGAAATGGATCTGATAGCTGAAAGAGGCATTGCTGCTCATTATAGTGGGAAAGGTCTTGTTACTGGCTTAGTTGGATACGCAATGCCTAATGGTAGAAATTCAAGAGGGAAAACAGTCTGTCTGAACAATGCTAACATCGCCCTCAGGGTAATTTTCTATTATCTTTGCAAGATTTTGGTGTTTAACAGTCTCTGTTGGAGGATGTCCTAATAAACGCTTTCGAATTCCACCACTCCAGTGCTAATTATATGGTAGAAGTCCTTTCTTTCCTCCAGATTGGCTGGCTCAATGCAATCAGAGAGTGGCAAGAGGAGTTTGTTGGGAACATGAGCTCTAGGGAGTTTGTAGACACAATCACCAGAGATCTTTTAGGTAGCCGTGTCTTTGTGTTTACGCCAAGGGGAGAGGTAAGAGGATCGAATTGTTTTACATATAAGAAAATTCTGCTGTCCTGTCTCAATTACTTATTGCATGGCAGATAAAAAATCTTCCTAAGGGGGCAACTGTCGTCGACTATGCTTATATAATACACACAGAAATAGGCAACAAAATGGTGGCTGCAAAGGTATTCTTCTGACATTTAAATATTTAACTGCTGTCTTCTTCTTTATGAATTCTGGTGACACCACAGAGCTCTCTATGATTGCAGGTCAATGGTAATCTAGTTTCTCCCTCGCATATACTTGCAAATGCTGAAGTTGTGGAGATAGTAACCTATAATGTTAGTTCATATCAGTCCTCTCATTTTGCCACTCCGTTTATTTTATAGTCTAGATTTTTTTGTTCTCGCTTTGTGCATATATCATGGTGGCACTTCACAAATTTTGTAGACCTCTGTAAATATGTTGTTCAAAATCCACATGCAAGGTGGTCCAAAGTCTTTGCTTCAGGTGTGAGCCTGTGGGTTTGATGGAACACAATGGACATATTTTGGAAGCCCTGTATTTTATATACTAGGAAACTTAATTGTACATTTTCACCATAAAAAAAATATAATAGATGCCAGTACACCCATCCACACAGTACGACAATAATTTGTTTGCATCGAGGTGGTTTTAACACACTACGCAAAACTTCTTTATGAAGGAGACAGACTGATCAGACTTACTGAGTTATAACCTTTAAACTTATGACTACCATTTGAGATCTTTTTATAGCATAAAATTTGTCTGTTGCCATTGATCCATACTGGAATATGCATATACTCTATTCTGTTCATTTGAGCAACTTGCATTTGTATGATTTGTTACTGCTTTCCACTCTAATAAACTTACCTAGTTTTATATGCATTAATGATGAGTTGAGCACAATGTAGAGTACATTATTTTTTTGTTGCTTCCTTTTTAGCTCATGAATTCTTTTTTACCAGGCACTCTCAAGTAAATCTGCTTTCCAGAGACATAAGCAATGGCTGCAACATGCAAAAACGCGCAGCGCCAGACACAAGATTATGAAAGTATGTTTTTCCAAGAACTTGGATACTGCTTATATATCCTTTACCTCTGCTCTATTAATAAAGGCTTCATGTTGTGTTCAGTTTTTGAGAGAGCAAGCTGCATTATCGGCAAGTGAAATAACATCTGATGCAGTAAATGGCTTTATTGCTGATTCTGTAGAGGATACTGAACCGGAAGATCTCTCAGATTATTCTAAGGGGAACAAACACACATGGGAGAAAATCCTCATGAATGTCGTGGAAATGTCATCTTCAATGACCAGAGGGGAAGACGTTTTCGGATGCCAAAATGGTAGTATTCAGGCCCCCAAAGTCAATGGGAAACATAACAAGCATATCCGGCAAGTGAGTTTGAATGCCAAAGGAGAGATGTCATCGCAGGAAAATGGTGTCACTAAGATGATACTTGCTAACATTCCAATATACAAGGAAGTATTGCCTGGTCTAGAGAGTTGGCAAGCTGGAAAGATTGCATCTTGGCACAACCTTGAAGGGCACTCTATCCAATGGTTTGGTGTTGTCTGCGTGGATCGAAGAGGTTTTTCTTTTTCTCCCTAAACTTGTAATAACACATCTAATTGCCGCTCCCTCTGTGTTCAGATGTTCAAAAGATAATTATCACATTGGTAATAGTAGCATGCAAATTGTGGGTGGTTAGGTTATCATCTCTTGGGTGCCAATTGGTAAGCAGTTGAGAAGTAGTATTTGTGGTCTTTTTGAGTACATTAAATGAAATTTAATTTAAAGAGCAACGTACTACTTACAAGATGCTGACCAAATGATGCCATGAAATTTGGGTCGGGAACCTTTTTACTCAACTTGGTAATTAGTGCAACTTTGTTAGTATTTTTATTAACCATCTATAAGAATTTGTTAGGTAAGATTATTCTATTATCCTATTTCAAACTTCAATTATGGCGGGATACTTATCTTATGATGGATCCACCTCTAATGTCTGCTTTATGATTATTCTATTATCCTATTTCAAACTTCAGTTATGGCGGGATGCTCATCTTATGATGGATCCACCTCTCATGTCTACATCTGGAGAGCTCTGTTGACATGAAGATTGATGTTTTTTTTTTACCAACTATAGTTAATACTTTAATACGTTAATATGTTTCAGGCATGATGGCTGATATAACAACAGCATTGGCAGCTGCAGGCATATCAATTTGTTCTTGTGTGGTGAGTGGTTGAAGCAAATATGATGGCTAAAATATGTGTGTGTGTGTGTTGTTTGTCACTGAGGACCTTTTCCAAAAAGTATCTTTTAACATCTCTATTTTCAATTAGCAGGCAGAAATTGATAGAGGGAGGGGAATGAGCGTAATCTTGTTTCATGTTGAAGGGAACCTAGACAGTTTGGTATGTTTGACAAATACAAATCTCCCAGCCCCATCTTGTTTCTGAATTGTCTTTTAATAGAAGAGCTATTTGTTTTATGCTTCAGGTTATTGCTTGTTCGAGGGTAGATCTAATCTTTGGTGTTTTGGGATGGTCCACGGGGTGCAGCTGGCCAAGCTCAATGGATAACCATGGGGTTCTAGAATGTTAATCAGTTTTAGTGGATCTGGTGACGGATGTGGAGGATTGGGTAAGCAGTTTTGTCCTTTGGAAAACTGAGATCCCAGTCATAAAAGTAGATTTTTGTGTATTTAGTTTCTTAGTTGATCATCTATATGTTGGACGCTTGTGGCAAGATAAACCAGCAGCTGCCAAGTTGAACAAGTCAATAGCCAGGGGATTGTATATAGAAAGAAGAGTAATAGTTACTGCAGTATACATGTAAAAATACTTGCAAGAAGATGAGATTAAAGCATTTATGAGAAAGGTTTTACAGAACTATTTCTACTACATGGATGTCTTTTTTTGGCCTATTTACACTATTTGGTTAACATTCCATAGAGTGGTGGTTCTCTCATCCCTTTCGGGGTAATGCTTTGGATATTAACTTTAGAAAGCTGTGGCTATGGCGACATACCACTCGGGTGGTTGAGTTTTCTTCTCCTATGCCTTTTGTTTTTTTTTTTTCCTTGGCAACTTCGATCTATTATTCTCCATGTTGAGTGTAATTGGTCTTTTATCAACCATCCAACCTAGAGCTGAAACTTGGTTAAGATTTTAATAAATTGAAAGGTTTTGATTCTGTAAAGCGAAAATGGTTTCTTTTTTTTTTTTTTCTTATGATAACTGTTATTGGTGGCGAAACTTGTGTTTGGGATAGTGATTTAGAATAATTTGCATCCCACTTTAATGGTTGTTCTGTTGATTTTGTAACTAGCATTGTGCAGAATGCAATTTGTTGTGTGACAGCTACAAAAGAGTGTCATTAAACAGCATTTGGACGCTGTATCTGCAGCACATAGAGGAATGGTCCATTGGTCGGGTACCGCATAGGAAACAACCCGATGTATTGCATGCTCTCTTATATATTAAAATCTTTGACCAATCCAAGCCATGCATTGCCTCACGCGCCCACTTTCTCTCCCTATGTATTTATATACGTACAGGGTTATATATGTGCTCCCTCTGTGTATTAAAAGGGCACCTAATATGTTAGGAAAGGGTGTCTTAAATACAAACATGAAAAAAGCGGTGGTATGTGTTGTACTTGTATCTTGGTGTAACAAGTGGGAGCGTGTTTCACGTTAGCTCAGGGAGAGCAATTAGATATATATAGGTTGGGTGGTTAGTTCCACCTAAAAGTTTAGGTTTTTAGGTCGGTTCACGAAACACTCATCTATTATAGTTGGTATTAGAGTCAGACTCAATTCTTGATCTGGTGTCACACCAAGCGCTCGGTCCGGAGGGCAGTTCGGGTGAGAGAGAATGTAACAAGGGAGAGAGTTTATTCCACATCGAATTCGAATGAAAAAGTGATTGGGTATATATGAGCACTATTAAGTGTATAGCCTTACGTAATAATTTAGACTTTTGGGTCGGATTGGGAAACACCCACCCATTACACTTGGTCAGCGGTGGATTAATGTGGTATTGTCAACACTAAGGTAGTCTAATCTGTGTTATTTTCATGTCTTATTAACTGAAACGGGAACCTCTTTTTTCCCACGAAATATAAGGAAAAAAAAAAAAATCACTTTCACTGGATTATCACTTTCACTGGATTATCAGTTTGATGCTATCAGTCGGAACAACATGTACTTTTTATTTGTCTTTAAAATCTTTCACACATTCTCATTGCCCTTAGCCTTGTGTTTATAATTTTTAACATGAATTCTATTGAAACCCACTTATGTTTTTTTGTAGAGTTCTTTTCATAATATCCCTTTTTCCTTAGTGAGAAAACAAAAAGCAAATCTAACACTGACCAAAGGCTAAAATTATGGGAAATTATATCAAAGTGGGGAATCATAGATTGAGAGAGCAGCACAGTAAACTTCTGAAACTCTTATTTATATAATATATAAGTTAAAAAAAACAAAGGACCAGAAGAGTATGATATCTGCATCTGCACTTTTGAAAATTTTATTATCTAGAATTAATTTAGGGGAAAAAGCTCCACCATTTGGGTAAGCGAAATTAGCAGCGGCGCCACCAGTCCCAGTAGGAGGAGGAGCACCACCATTGACCATATCCAAATTCTGAGGTTGGGTGAATTTGTTGTCTGAGTAATCAGACTCAACATCTCTGATTGATCCCTCTTGATTGAAGCCGTTGTTGATTTCACAATCTCTTCGTGGTTATCATCATAAATTTCACTGATCTCATTCTTGTTTAGGCAACCAACTTCTGTTTTGAATGTTGTATCCTCTTCCTCAATCTTCTCTGCTAATTTGTGGTTATCTATCTTCACTTTTCTGAATTCGTGTGACAATTTTTTCATCGACTCTGTTGGCCAAATTGCTTCCGCATTGGATTCCATGGACGAGTCCTCTGTTCCTTCCGAGCTCTCTTCACCTCTCTTTACTATATCTTCTTCCTCCTCATCATCAACACTGTCTTCATCATTATTTTCTTCTTCTTCACTCAATTGTGATTGTGAGTCATCTTCAACAGCAATCTGATCTGCCCATGCTGTTTCAACTGTGACACCTTTCTCCACTATGTCTTCCTCATTATCTTCTTTTTCTCCTTCTTGATTCAATTGCGGTTGTGGCTCTTGTTGAACAGCAATCTGATCCACCTGAGCTGTTTCAATGGTAGGAGGTTTCTCCACTATATGTTCTTCCTCCTCCCTCTCATCCTCATCATTATCTTCCTCTTCTTCTTCTCCTTCTTCTTCTTCGCTCAATTGCGCTGGTGGGTGTTCTTCAACTGCAATCTGATCCGCCTGAGCTGTTTCAACTGCAACACATTTCTCCTCTGTAGCTTCATCCTTATTATTATCTTCCTCTTCTTGATTCAATTGCGCTTGTGTGTCTTCTTCAACAGCAATCTGATCCGCCTGAGCTGTTTCAACTGCGACACCTTTCTCCTCTGTATCTTCATCCCCATTATTATCTTCCTCTTCTTGATTCAATTGCGCTTGTGTGTATTCTTCAACAGCAATCTGATCCGCCGGAGCTGTTTCAACTGTGATACCTTTGTCCACTGTGTCTTCCTCATTATCTTCTTCTTCTTCCTCCTCGTGATTCAATTGCACTCGTGGGTCTTCTTCAACTGCAATCTGATCTACTAGAGCTGTTTGGATTTTGACACCTTCCTCTACCATATTTTCTCCATCACCATATTCTTTTTCTTCCTCTTCCTTTTCCTGATCTTCTCCTATGGATTGCAGTTGTGGACTGTCTTCTTCTTCTTCAATCTGATCTGCATTACCAATAGGTGCTTCTATTGCCTTTTCATCACTCGTAACTTTAATGACCTCTGACACCACAGGCATGTTTTCTGTATACTCTTTTTCAGGTTTGAGGAGGGAATCAAGAGTGTGGGAGGAGATTGATGAAGAGAACTCTAGAATTTTGACATCATCATGATCAATGGTCAACCCTCTGCTTTCTGGTTTCGGATCATCAGAAGAATACAAAATCCTTTGATCACTACCATAGGTTGAATTCTCCTTTTGGCTGTTATTCTGAATCAAAATTTTATTAGGACATCATATCAGCAATTGATTGAGTCTCAGATTTGGTTTAGAATGGAAGAATTATACATTCGGAAGAAAAAGATTAATTACCAAAATCAAACTTTCAGCGAAGATCAATGGCGTAGAATCAATCTAGGTTATGCCCATATCCGTTGCTCCTCCATCGCTGCTGCAAGTGCAAATTAACAATCCCACCATCAATTAGGCGTATGTGTGTAGATAGATGATCAGAGATATAGAGAGACTAATATGTTTGAGACAAACCTTGTGTGGTGATGTATAGGATGTTGAACAAGTGCACGAAGACCTTCACTTCCTTGATCTTTATTGTCATTCAATTCCAAATCGTGGGAATGAAGATTGGTTGATACTAGTGGTGGTGGCGGCGGCGGCGGCGGCGGCTGAGGTGGAGGGAGGGTGTTGTTGGTGGATCTGCTTCTCTTTCTTAGTTTGATTGCAGAAACAGATACCAAAGTAGCAATAGCCAAGGCTCCACCCCAAACAACAACTCCACCAAGACCACCGCCTACTTTGATCGCCATCTTCTGCCTCTCTTGCTCGATAGTGCATTTCTTCTTGGGCTTCTCCATTTTATTTTAGTATCCAATATTTCCGAGTGTTTGGTGTGTTTATCAATGCTTTTTGTGTTTTCTTGGTAGTCTCAGTGTGTGTGCACGAGAGACCTTAATTTGCACATGAAAGTGTAAATGACGAGAGAGAAGACGACGATAAGAGAGAGAGAGAGAAATGACTTAGTTCGGAGGTTGAAGCGGACTTCTCATTTGACAAAACCCATATATTATTTAAAATAGAAGCATCAAAGTCGCGTGATACGCGTGGAGGAAAAAACAAACGTAAGTGGACTCCCATAACTTTTTGAGCGTCCTCTCGCTTTTCAATTTTGGCTTTTCTGTTGCCAGTCCCCCAACACTCCCCACCCACTCGGGTTTGGATGAGAGGTGGGCATCGTTGATCAACTACTCCATTCATCAGATTCATTCAAATTTTTTTTACAAATATTTTATATTTTACTCCATCTATCTTTTTTCTTTTTCACATCTAATATGAGAAAAAAGGGAATATGTTATATAAAAGAGGGAATATGAAAAAGAGGGAATATGTTGTATAAAAGAGGGAATATGTTATATAACACATCTAATATGAAAAAGAGCTTCAAACATGGACAAGCATATATATGAAGCCCATTAAAATTTTCCAATACATTAATTACATGTTTGATATTGGAAGTTTTTAATGGGACATATAATTAATATATTATTATTTAAAAATTATTTATTTGTCTTTCTAAGTTTATATATATATAATTATCAAGTTGAATTTTTTAAAAAAATTTAAAAAGTAATGATAGAAAGAAGGTATTATTTTAGTTTAACTTTTTAAATGTGATGAACATCTAATAATATAGAATAAAGGGAATAGTATTTTTAAAGCCAAACATAATAGGAGATACTATATACATTGCTAAGAGAGGAGGTTTGTGGACAATTGCAATAGTCAATTTCATCCATTAAATAAGATAAATATCACAATTGAATTCATATGGTCCATCTTACTAGTTGGACATATATATATATCTAACACGTGTTAATTAAATAAATACTGTTCAGAATATATATGTGATAGGTGGAGAGGTACTGGATACTAAAATGTACTGACTTTGATTTAAAATATCCTACCTTGCTTGCCGGGTTAAACAAAATTAAATACATAAATTACACTTAAAATTTAATTGTGGTATCAGTGATATGACGACTATACACTTGAGAATCAAAGATATATATATATATATATATATATATATATATTTCATCTTTTATCACTGTCACGCGCATTTTCTTCAATTCGGTTGCAATGATTTTCCATATCTTATCGCGGCGGACAACACTGCGAACTGTTCAAGTCCCTCCTAACTAAAACTATAAGACCAGCGTATTTTTCTCAAATTTGGTTGGGCAACTTGGGCTTCATGACACCAAGAAGCCCGATATCAGAAAATGCTTAATGTCACGAAATTGAAGCCCGATATTAAAAAATGCTTAAATGTCACGAAATTGATGAAGACTGGCTTAATCCAAATTGAGCCCTTAAATTTCTAAGGCCTTAACCATTTTATAACTTGATATATATATATATATGGACAGACAAAGATGAGGACTTGTACTCGATTTTGTGAACGCAATCACTTTATGCAAAAATAATAGTAATAATAATTTCAACATCTCGTGTATACAGAATAATTACTAAGTAACGACCTTTTTTATTTAGTTCTAACACCATCAACTTCAAAAAATTCAGGTACGTCATCACAAACTTCAGTTTCAAGATCAAAGAGTTACAATATAATTTTTGTTGATAAAATATATACTTTATGTGGCTTTTAAGATATAACAACCCTTATACTAATATGATATGAGATAATTAATAATATGCTAAGAAATGATTAATTAAATATGCAACTATGTATTTAATTAAATATGCAAAATAAAGTAATAAATTAATAAATAATAAATAAAGAATCTGGACCGAGGTTAGTATTGGATACTATGTCCTTAAGACAAATTCGTCTCGCAATGGTGCTAACGGACTCAGTGGCGTCTATCTCCCAAGATACAACGGTTTATATCCACCAGTAGCAGCACTACAAACTCGTGGATACGGCGAACTTCCTCCGTGTAATACTCTCTCTGACTCAAAAATGCATCTATGCTATTTAAATAATGAATTGGGTGCAATCCGAACCAAATGGCTCGGACCAAATTTAATATAGCTCAATGAAATTGGTTTTGGGCCTAAGTGGCTCAGACCACTTGACCATGGCTTGAACCCACATCCACTTGGGCTGGGTTCATCTTGAGAGGGGGAGAGAATAAATTTAATTGAACGATAAATTATGGTAGCCAGTGGGGTATTTATAGACTTAGAGATGTCTTTTGGTGTATAGGTATGTCTGTTTGGGATACCTCTTGGAGTATGGGTGTATTTGTTTGGAAAGAACGTATCCTTTCATAGTTTGGTCACCTTCAACCGATTCTTAACTGTCAACAACGTTACGTTCTTTAACGTCTGTAACCCAAAACTCACAAATATGATTATGATTCAATGTGATTCTCAATCATACTACCCTTACTTTCCAACCCATCCTTAACCACGTTGAATAATGTGTCAAGGATTCGTTGTAATTTGGAAATTCTGTATTACAGAAACATTCTGCATCAATAACCATATTCATGGGTTATTAATATCGCAAAAGATATGATGGCACCACTCTAGTTATAGACTCCTTGATAAACAATTTCCATTTACGCCAAATTTCTAACAATTTTAAAAAGAGGGCATGCCATGCATATTGATTGCTTGCTCTCAACTTATTAACATGGCAAACAAATCTCAACACAAATTAAAGAATCATTTATTTGATCATATATATACGTAAGATACTATACATAGATGATCAAATTAATTAAACTAGCTAGTAACTGTTAGAATCCAGGGTTTGATTCTGAGGTGTATACAAAAGGACCCACAGAGTAGAGCTTCATATGGTTGTCATTAAGGAGAGTGTAAGAAGAAAGAACAGCACCACTAATCCCATTGTTGACATCAGTTGGAACTTTACAAGTCTGTAATGGAGAGTTTTCGAGGAAGGCCTTGCACTCTATCAGCTTCCATTCATCTTCAATCTCTGAAGGAGACAGTGTACCAAAGAAGTAACCCTTTGCGTCGGCAGGGTCACTCAAGAAGGAGAAAGGAGCCGATTCATATCTGTTTTGGTCCACCGCAAGACATGTTATTCTAGCCACAGCTCCTACGTACACTCAGGTTCCAAAAATCAACAGTACGTCTAAGAACAATAATATTAATTCTATCCCATAATTAAATTAAGTATTTCATTAACTATATATGTGTGTGTGTGTGTTTGATTTGACACCAAATTCAAGCAGATCATAATGATCAGACACTGGCCTCCACATGCATGCATTCACGTACCATTAGTAATACATTGCATATTTGCATGTGATGGTCTTATTGCACATGGTGGTAGTGAACGTACTTCTCGTTTGATAAAAGATCTTACTAATTAAGTACTACTAGTACATGATATTAAGTAGGATTTGGTGAGAGAAATTAAAGAAAGATGATTAGTTGTGTAGAAATTATGATTACCTTGAAGTGGGATGACTTTAACGCCCGATTTACAATAGACAAGCCCTTGGATGCCTATGGTTTTGGGGATGAACGGGTTATTATCTTCTGTCTTGGGTTTATGATAAAGCTCGGGTTTCGGACTATAATCGTAACCACTTGCAGAAGAAGCAACAACGTTAACAGCCAGTGACAAAAGAAGCACAGAGATTGCAAGTGATAATGCTCTGAAAGCCATTTGATTTCTACGCTCGATCTGTTGTCTTGGGGGTGATTGGAATGGTCTGATGGGTGCTAGCTGTTACTTCCATACCTTTTTTATAAAAAGATTATATCAATCTCTCTTGAATTGTTGTATTCATTATTCAAATTTGTTTTTATTAAAATATTATATGCCATCTATTTGTTGATATATAATAGATAAGGTAGTGCATTACATAGTAGCACGACAGCAGATAATTTGTATGATTAATGGAGGGCCACTAAATGAACATGCATGAATGAATGCTTACCTTCTTTTTCATCTTCATTTGGATGTTACGTCGATAGAGTTGGTCTATTATCATGCCATGTTGCCATCACAAATAAGGAGGACATGCAGGTACCTATGGTTTCAGTGGTATATAATTATGTATCATATAAAGTGTTCCGAAAAATCAACATGATAGGTTTTATTATTAAAATTTGAATGCTAAATTAGTATGTTAGGAGATGAAGCGGTATTGCTCAAGTAGTAAAGAGTAAGATCTTAATTAAATACTCTTACCTTATGTTCATATGTTCGAATTCTCTTTTCCCTAACCTCCATTAACTTCTAACTCTATTACTATTTGACAGGTAAAAAATATATATATTTAGTATGTTAGGTTTTTTTAATTTTTTCTTTTTAATTTTTATTATTATTTATTTTTTTGCCATATTATCTACTAGCTGAAGTATATCCAATATACTCCGATAGGTGTTTCATTCTCTTACTAGATATTGTACATATACACATGATACATATCAATTAAGTAGTTAAATGGTTACTATTTATCCATTTTTTTCTTACTATTTAATTATTTGATTCATCTATTAAAAGTTCAATTAAGTAGTTGAATGGTTAAATATTTCGAAATAATAAAAATAAATAAATAAAAGGGAGGAAATATTCGCACTCCCTCTTGATTTATCAGATTTTCAATATTTTTCATCTCTTTAGACAGGATGGAAAAAAAAAAATTGAAGGACTCAATGGGTAGCCAATATTATCAGCAATGGATTATGGGTTTTGGGATGATGAACCTGGAAGTGGATTTTTTTTCTTCCATACATATATATGTGTGTATAACTTTTTATATTTGTATATTTGAATTTTATTTTTTATTTATTTTTGCTTACGACATCTAGGGTATTTTTGGGATTTTCATAAAAAAAATTGGTCAAAATTGTTGACTGGGGGGCATTTTGCTCCAAATGTTTAAAATATAGGGAATTATATGCACATAATAAATATATAGTAAGGGTGTTTCTTGCACATTTTCTGTATAGTGAGGTGTTTTTTACACTTAAGAGCATCGCCAATGCAAAATACTATTGTTGCATGCCGAAGCTAATGTTATATTTTAGCAATTTTACTCCAATAGTGCATTTAATCCAAAATGTTATTTTTTAACACAACCACCCTTTTCAACTACCATTTTCAAATTGAAGGACAAATAATCTATTTTCTGCTTTATATATATGATCATAAAAACATTATATAAATTATAAAAAAAAAATGAATCCATTGATCACAAATAGAGAATTGAATCAACACTAAAACAAGCAAACAAATTTATTCAGATGCCTTTTTATCACTTTATGATATACATATATAAACAAATTAAGATGATTATAAGTGGATATTCACATGAAATTACACCAAACAGTAGTAGTGAATCATCCCTAAGGTCCAAAGATCTTGATCAACCAAGCATTGCAAAATGCTACATCTTGATCTGGCGTGAATGTCTTTCCCCGCCTTTTGTTGATTGTTGAGGGACTTCCATTGATGCTCAACCGAGCATTGCAAGACTAAGGAAAAACCACAAAACACATATATAGTTCTGTGTGTTATACAAGAAAAGCTAAAGAAAACAAGAAGAAGATGGATAAGAACATCCATGCATAACAGTATTTAAAGTGATAAAGAGTTGCATAGTTTTGATAAGAGTAAACATGTATTCCAATTTACTACTCTAGTTATGTGTATTAATGAAGAGACGGGAGCCTTATCATTTAAATAAGAGAAGTTAAACTTATAAACACTGAGTTATGAAATCCAAACTCTTCAACAATTGCTATTATGTGGTATTCAATGTTTGACTCTTCCAATAAAAGTATCCCTAAATTTCAAGATTAATAAGTTTATATGTTAGATGTTATATTCCATTCCTCCATAGATACTCAATGATATAATATTCTTAACCAGTAACAAAACCTTGTACGACCCTCTATGAGGTTTATCCATCAGACCTTCTCAATGATACCTATTTACTATAGTAAGATCCTAAATTTAATTGAAAGATAGCAACCACACTAGATAAAATTGGAAAAATAATGAATACATATTGGGATTTATATACTCTGGCATAGCAAATTCCTATCTGGATTATAGTGACATATGTTCCTGACATATCTGAAATACTTATGATTTATATAATTGGTGAATTCAATGTATTATGTTTCGATTCACTATGAAATTGATAGTGTCCATGTAATTATAAGAAATATTTATATATATGTATGTGATGGCAATCAATGCATGATATATAAATAGTAATTATAAATTGTTCATAGTCGGTAATTATGGATGGACTCATAATTAATTAAGACTTGAACTGGATCCGCGTTAGGTTGAGATATATTGCGAGAGTTGTCGTATGCAATTACTCCCTATCACCGTCATGGCATTTGACTCTTAAGCATGAGAAAAGTATAGACTCTTTTATTAATTAATAATTACTTTGATTTGTTCGGCGGATTCTTCGGGATCCTTAGACCGACACTTCGGGTAGTTATGTAATTAATAGTTAGAGGGTTATATTTTCAATATTTGCATCATTGCTACTTGTATTTATTTTGTATTGATTATGGTTGATCACAAAGTAAATTCGAAGGCCTTCGTATGATTTTAGACAAAATGATTTATTATATATTTATTTATTAAATTATTATTTTTGTCGAACAAATGTTTTATTGTGATCGAGCCAGAAATAATCAAAGGTACCAAAATAAATATATTAATTAAGTAGTCGGATTGATGGCATTATTTATCCGATAACTAATTATGCATAGAGGGGTCAAAGTGCAATATTGACTTAGAGGTTATTTATTATTTAATTGGAGTTCAATTAATTTCTTTTAGTGGAGTAGAAATTAATTTATGAATTAATTGAATTGGGTCCATGGACCGGGCCAATTATTAATTCATTGTAGCCAATAAAATAATAGGCCCAATGGATTCTCACTCATGGCCCAACTTGATATTGGAATTATATTAGATTTGAGACATATGAATTAGAGATGGAGAAGGATTTGTTGTTTCCTTTTCTTTACCTTTATGTTACCTATAAATATACATGGTCTATGTATATTTTAGGGGTGATTTTGAGTAGAAGAAAAAAAAGGAATATATTTTCTCTCTCTAGAAAATTAGGGTTTATGTTCTCATCTAATGGAGACTCCCACAAGCCTAGTTTTCCAAGGTCATTCATGGAGGCATATGAGTGATTCCTAAAGGCAAAACAATTATCAAGAAGATGGAGATCCAAGGAGAATGCATCTTGCTAAGGGATCTACAATAAGTGAGAACATTCACTTTAGAGGAGAGATCTAAGGTTTACTCAAAGCTTGATGTAAGTATTCAATCTGTTAATTGAATGATACATCATATTTTATTTTTGCATAAAACTTGTCTCTATGTAATGAATCAAGATCTATGAATCAAAATCCCTCGAAAAGTTTTTAAAACTTGCACGTTCACTACAGTTTATCCATCAGACCTTCTCAATGATACCTATTTACTATAGCAAGATCCTAAATTTAATTGGAAGATAGCAACCACACTAGATAAAATTGGAAAAATAATGAATACATATTGTTACTTAAAAGGGTTAGTTACTGATTGACTATCACAAAGGTGTATCAAGAAATTTATTGATTCAAGGAAGAAGTTGGTTCAGATGATCTCTGCTACACCTACAAGTTGGTTAGTGAATTGATTATGTTGATTCCATGATGCAAGCTTACTCCCATTATCTCTAATCTATGAACTCAATGGCCAACGGGAGAAAATTGCTTTATTTAAGTCACACCGGTTGTTTTCACTAGAGGTGTTTGTGCCCAATTGATGCTTCTAAAGGAATTAATGTTGGACTTAATGGATCCTTAGCTACTCATTCAAGAATTGGTCATTGAGGGGTTTTGAAGAGCGAAAAACTCAGTATGGTTGGCAAGTTAAGTGGTTGTGAGGTTATTCTTACTTCAGCCCATGAAAGGTAATTTTTTGGTACAATGGAACTGGAGCACCAAATAGCAATTAGAAAGACGTAATATATATATATATATATATATATATATATATATATATATATATATGCTCAATACATTGCATAAAGCCTTGTCATTGCAAATTGAAAGTAAAATTCCATTCTTACAAAGAAATAAGAAAGAATTAAAGTAGAAACAGAGAAAAATTCTGCGAATGTCAATAACAATTAGGTTTCTTTCACTATTAGTCTCCGATATTCATATACCAACAGTTTAAAAAGAATAACAAGAAACCCAAAAGCAAAGAAAAGAACAAAAAAATCTTTATATATGTACACACACATATGACATATCCATACTATACGTATATAACACAAGAATTACTAATATCTACAAAAGATGAACACACTGAGATTATCTGAGATCCATACTCTTCTCTCTTTTTTTCCTTGAACAAAATCAAAACTTTCTTCCTCAATCGTTCAGAAAATAAGCACAAAGATCTAAAGAGAAAAACAGAGACATACATGTATAAAGAGTTAGAAAAAGACATACATATTGATACTCAAGTGAGAGACTGGGTTTTGAAACCGCGTGCGTCAAAATTAATGGCGTAGAGACGAGGCAATGCTAACTGGTAGAGAGAGAGAGAGTTTTATAAAAAGAGAGAAAAGTGAAAGAAAGGAAGCACAGAAGAAGCGTGGTAAAGGAGGAGAAGAGGGGTTT